CCAATGCAACGTAACGAAATTGAAAATAAAATTTCTAATTGTTCTACCTGTTTATAAAAGTCAGTACTGTTTTTTCGCTATTTCATAATGTTGCGATTCTTCACGCTTCTTGCGAATTTCAGAAACATCGAATCGAATATTAGAGTATTTATAACATTTATAATAATTTGAAGAGTAAAACTCTCGATTTTTGGATTTGTCTTACGCAAGATATTTGCTTTTATATTATTCATTCCATTTTCATCATATACTCTAATCTTCTAATAAATATTGAAAGATATTGTTTACATCGCGATGAAATTTTTTTATCTGTAAATTTTCTTTCAGATATCTATCTAAAAGATTTCCCTCTTCCTGGAAAAAAATATATCGTACAAAGAAGTTTTTCTTCAATGAAATTTCTTGGATCGGATAATATTCGTAGATCTGATTGTTCGTCGCGCAACTTTTTCATCGATCGCGGTAACGGAATTGCATAAATGAAAGTGAACAGTTAGCGATCGGTCAGCTGTGTCCTTTCAATCTTAAATCTCGATTTTAATCCGGGAGAGCAAACATTTGGAATAAACTGAATAATCCAGCACAGGAATAATCAACAATAGTGATAAACAAATAAAGAATCTCTCTCTATCTAATTTTTTCATCCTTTTTTGCCTTTCATTAAAAGTACGAAATAAAATAATATTAAAATAATATTTCCACTTTCTTCCTTAATATTTATCTGCTACGATTGAATTTTTTTTCTCCCTTAACGAGAGAGAAATGATCGACCAAACGGCCACGGACGAGCAAACAATATCCATCGTTCTTTTACGGTCGCTGATTCGAATATTTCTGATTGATTATTGTGATCACTGACTCCTGAGATACTCGCTTGCGTGTCGCGAAATTGAAAGGGTGGGGCAGCGATCTTTTTGAATCACCAAGTCGATATAAAGGCTTTGCTCGTGGAGGCGAGATCATTTCATGGGAAAGTGATGTGGCTCGACGAACCGGAACCGGAAACGGAATAAGTGTTCACTGATCGCCGATATCGCGCATCATGATCTCCTACAACCTCCGTTCTCTTCCCTTTGATGGATTTTTTTTGGTAACATTGCCTTCCATTGCGTTTCCATTGACTTTTTTTGACCTAAAAATTTTTTATATTTCAGAACTTATTTTTGAAACAAGGAAATTATAAATTATTGATTATAATTAATATTTATATTGGATTCATTTCAAGAGAATTCAAAACTTCATGATTCTCTTTTAATAAATTTATTTTTGTAATTAATATTTTAGATTAAAATTGTTATTTAATTATCATCATTGGAGCATCAATTTTAAAGTTCCAAATTATTTAATATTTTTCCTAGTTAAAGTATGAATTTTTCTGACATAAATATGTTTAAGTTTGGCCATCTGTTTGGACATCAGTAAACGCCAAGATCTATAACAATAGCTTCAAATCAGAAATTATTTTTGAAACAAGGAAATTATAAATTATTGATTATAATT